CTCGAGGCATCGCAGCAGGGGCTGTGAGAAGGATCGCTTGTAGAGCCGTTCATTCACCTCGGAATACCATGCTTGCGTTCGGCAATTGCGGCGCGTCGCGGCTTTGTCGTTGGGAAGAATCCTGTCGCGTTTGAAGAGCAACAACTCCTGTACCCACATGGCGCGCGCTTCGGTAGGAGTTATAGCCGAAACCGAGATGGCGTGGAATGAGAGCTCTTTAACCTTGGAGTGGTTTCCATGGTCTGGTCCTGAAGCCATCTTCGCCAACTCGTCGGCTCGTTCATTTTGGCTCCTCGGCACCCTGGATATCGTGAAGTGGGAGAAGTTGGAGGCTAGGCTTTTTACCTCCGCCAAGTACTTTGCCATGGTCGGTTCCTTGGCTTCGTACCCACCGCTGAGTTGCTCGGCGACGAGCTGCGAATCAGTGAAGACGTGGATGGCGTCCACCTGCATTTCAAGGGCCAGCTTGAGTCCTGCCAAGAGCGCCTCATACTCGGCTTCATTGTTGGTTGCCCGGAACCCGAAGCAGAAGGAGCATTCGAACGAGCATCCGTCGGGGGCCGAGAGTACCAACCCCGCGCCGGCGCTGCTGGAGGTAGCCGAGTCGTCCACGTGCAGGTCCCACGCCTCCTCTGACTGCTCGAAGCTTCCATTCCCGTCTTCAACCAGTTCCGCGATGAAGTCGGCCACGGACTGGGCTTTGATAGCAGTCCTCGGAACGTAATGTATGTCGAATTCTCCGAGTTCTACAGACCACTTGAGGAGCCGTCCTGCGACATTAAACTTAGACAGAACCTGCCGGAGCGGCTGGTCAGTGATTACCTCAATCGGGTGAGCCTGAAAGTAGGGGCGTAGTTTCCGAGACGCCAGCACGAGAGCCAAAGCGAGCTTCTCGATTGGCGGATACCGCTCCTCGGGCCCGTTCAGGACATGGCTGATGTAGTAGACCGGTAGTTGTTCCTCAGAAGCCTCTTTGGTTAGGACGAAGCTGACCGCGTGCTGGGAGGCAGCTAAGTAAACGCTGAGCTTTTCCTCGAGAGTAACCGAGGCAAGGCGGGGGAGGTTGGCCAAGTGCCGCTTGACTTGTCCAAAAGCCTCTTCACACTGTGTCGTCCATCGGAAGTCCTTGGGGTTCTTCAACGCCTGGAAGAAGGGGAGGCAATGATCACCAGACCGAGATAGAAACCGGGATAAGGCAGCAAGTCGTCCGTTTAGTCGCTGCAAGTCCTTGACTGTTCGAGGGGCCTGCATGTTGATGACCGCCTGAACCTTTTCCGGATTCACGTCGATTCCTCTTTCATGCACGATGAATCCGAGGAACCTTCCCGAACTGACGCCGAAAACGCACTTCGTCGGGTTTAGTCGCAGGCCATACCTCCGGAGTGTGGAGAATGTCTCGGCCAAGTCGGTCAGGTGGTCTGCCGCCATGCGACTTTTCACGATCATGTCGTCGACATAGACTTCGACGTTTCGCCCGATTTGAGCGGCGAACATTTTGTTCACGGCCCTCTGATAGGTGGCGCCTGCGTTTTTGAGCCCGAACGGCATGACTTTGTAGAAATACACCCCCAGATCGGTGATGAAAGCCGTGTGTTCTTGGTCCTTGGGCACCATTCTAATCTGGTTGTAGCCGGAGAAGGCGTCCATGAACGACAGGCGGGCGTGCCCGACAGTTGCGTCGACCAGCTAATCGATCCTTGGGAGGGGATAGCAGTCTTTCGAGCATGCACGATTGAGACTCGTATAGTTAACGCACATCCTCCAGCTCCCATTAGATTTCTTTACCAGCACTACATTAGACAGCCATCGCGGGTACTTGACTTCCTCAATGAAGCCAGCTGCTAAGAGTCGCTCCACCTCTTTGCGGACGGCGAGTTGCCTATCAGGGGCTTGGCATCGTGGTTTCTGTTTTACTGGCCGGGCATTGGGCGATATATTCAGGTGATGCTGGGCGGTCTCTGGGTCGACGCCGGTCATGTCGGATGGCGACCAGGCAAAGACATCGGCGTTCTCCTGCAAGAAACCGACGAGCTGCTCTCGTTCTTGCCCGGGGAGTTCCGACCCGACCTGGACCGTCCGATCCGGGCGATCCTCCATCAACGGCACGTCACAAGTGGGCGCCATCGGCTCCGGGTGTGGTGTCAGCCACTTCTCTTCTCTCGGGTCCTCTAGAGGTTGGTCGGTCCTCGCCCTTTTGTGCAGCGAAACCGCCGTCAGGTAGCATCGTCTGGACTCTTGGGGGCTTCCCCAAACTTCCCCTGTCCCGGCGTGGGTAGGAAACTTCACCGTCTGATGATAGGTGGAGACTACAGCTCTGATTTTGTTGAGGGTGGGGCGGCTGAGGATGGTGTTGTAAGCAGTAGGAAGCGTTAGGATTAAGAGCACTAAGAGGGGGGGGGTGAATTAGTGCAGCGGAAAACCTTCTACGATTAAAAAAAAACTGTGTTCGTTCGATAAAAGTGATTTCAGTAAGAAAGTCGATTCGTAAATCACTTTAACTTTTGATTAAGCGAGATGCAGCAAAGATATAAATGCAGTTTGCAGTTATGGTTCAAATCAGATAGTAGGCGCAAACCGAAATATGATATTCGTACGAAAAAATCGATTTACGTCTAAATGCTGATTCGTAAATCACTTGATTAAGCGAGATGCAGTTAAAGCAAGGATATAAAGGCGGTTTGCAGTTATGATAGAAATCAAAATGTAAACGCAAACTGAAATATGATGATCATACGATAAAACTGATTTACGTCTAAACGCCGATTCGGAAAGTGCAAAGCTTGAAACCCAATCGTATATGCGCAAAAAGCAGTAAGCTTTTAAGAAGGTTTGCAGTAAAGATAATATGCTCAAAGTAAATGCAAACCGAGATTTAGAGTGGTTCAGTCAATCTTGACCTACATCCACTTTTGGCTTCCTCCACTGACGTCCACTAGAGGCCTTCCTTCAATAGGCGAAGGCCAACCTCCCTTTTACAGTTTCACTCCTTTTGACTGGCTTAGGAGACAACCCTTACAGATTTTTCTCTCCTCTCTTTAAAGATCAGAACTTGGAAGAAAAGAGGGAGAAGAACTTTTGGCCTTTACAACAATTTTGAACTCTAAAAATCACATAATAAGATCATGATTTCGGTGTGTTTTAGTGCCCTTTCAGTGCTGAAAGGGTGGGGTATTTATAGGCCCCAACCCAGTTTGAATTCCGAGCTCAAAATTGTCAATTCCCAGAATTTCGGGATCTGGCGGTTGCACCGCCTGACTGAGGCGGTTGCACCGCCTGGCAGAGCTCGAAGACTGAGCCTCTGGGCGGTGCCACCTCCTGTAAGGGGCGGTTGCACCTCCTGCCAGAGCTCGAAGACCGAGCTCAGGCGGTGCCATCGCTTGACTGAGGCGGTTGCACCTCCTGCTAGAGCTCGAAGACCGAGCTCAGGTGGTGCCACCTCCTGTTATGGGCAGTTGCACCGCCCAGTCTCGCTCGGAGACTGAGCCCAGGCGGTGCCACCGCCTGGCTGGGGCCGTTCAACCGCCTGGCAGAAATCAGGGTCCGAATGGGTTGATCCATTTAGCCCAATTTGGGTTTTTCATGGGCCCAATTGCCTCAAGATTAAGTTAATGGGATTACCTCCTATTTCCAACTTAATCATTGTGCTAACTACGATATTTCCTAAGACATTTACTGCAACTTGCTCTGGTGCGTCAATCGCTTCTTCCGGCGAGCTTCCGGCGAACTTCCGGGACCCGAGGCGAAGCGGGAAGCTCCAGGGGCTGCGCCTGAGCCTGAACAGGCGGCTCCTGTTGTCGCACCGGTTCGGTGATCGGCGGGTGCAGCGTTCCAGAGACGAGTGGAATGATGGACTGTACCATGCCGGTTAGAACTTGGACCTGATGGGTGAGGTCGAGAAAGGCCTCGGACGAGACGGGCGACGGTTCGGCGGAGGGGGCGTCGGGCGGCAACAAACCCTGGTCATTGAAGATCCGCCAATAGCGCTCTGAAGTTGTGGCGGGGTGTTCGTTACGGAGACCCGTCCGCGGGGAATGTTCCCCTGGAGCCCCGACCGGGTGCGCCCCCTCAACTGCGGGTTCGGCCGAGTCGGTCTGGCGATCCCTCGACATCAGGCCCTCCTTCTAGCGCCAAAATGTTAGTGTAAACAACTTTTTAGCCGTGGCCTCGGGGTCGACGCGGCTCGGTTTAGGTCCGGATGACGAGTCGTCGTTTCCTTCAAGAAGGGGCTCCTTGCCAACGCGTCCGGAGAGAGGCGCCTCATCTTCGTCCCTGGACGCAGGTCGGGTCGGGATGCTCAACCCGACCCCTCCGATGATTAAGTTAGTCGGTGGTCGCGAAAGTTTTTGTTTTTTCCCCTCCTTTCCGTTTAGAATGCAAGGGTATTTATTGGGGAGTTTGGTGTTACCTGACGTGCCTGCTCGTAGGGGGCAGGATCGTACCTTCTGATGACATCTGACATCGCTGTTGGTGTGGCGTGCGGAATCGAGCCTGAGCGGTCGTTAATGGGCCTCGGTTGGTGTTACGACCCGTGTCAGCCATGCGCTGTCAGCCCGACAGAGACGCGGGGCATCAGCGGGTGTCATGCAAGTCTTATCGTAATTATCACCCTCATCAATAATAATAATAATAATAATAATAATAATAATAATAATAATAATAATAATAATAATAATAATAATAATAATAATAATAATAATAATAAAGACATATACTTCAATAATTCATAGAGAAAGAAGAAAAATAAAGAAGGCATAATCTCTTTATTTTTATTCATAATGTTTCTAATTTGATAGGACTCCCAAAATTTATAATTTTGGTCAAGGCTGCTAATCTATATCATTAGATTGGATATCAAGCCAATCTAAAAACTTTAAGTTATGAATCAAACTTAACCTTGTTAATCCGACTCTTTCAATTCTCATCAATGTGATAATTCTTTAGCTCTCTTTCTATCTGCCCCCACAATGTAGACATCTTCACCATTAGAAACATTTCGGCAGGCACTCACAGTTACTCTTATGAGTTACATGAACACCATGAAAGTAGTTCTGGCAGTGGATGAATTGGCCATACCTGACCCTCACCAGCTCTTGGATGACTTTGCTGACAGCCTCGAGCTCATCAAGGAAGCACTTCCGAGAAGAACATAACCTGGAAGGCATACACACGAAGAAATGAGACTTGGCTATATGATCGATCAGTTCTTCAATTTGTAATAAGCTGTTGTGTGACTCTTAAGAATTATTCTTCAGTATGTCTTGGTTTTATGGTAAGAAAAAGTACTACTACATCAGCAAGGTTTTAATTCTCATCACAGCATTACATTCTCTTTTGGGCATGCAAAGTTCTAATTTGTAATGCATGTGTCATATCATCTCATGAAAATAATAAATCTTCACGACAACAAAGATAGAGATGAAAGGCAAATGCTCATTGATTTAAAATACTTAAATATAACTGAAGTATAATAAATTATTCTAATCCTATAAATCAATTAAATTATTCTTGATATCCATTTTATTTAGACACTAGTGTAGCCATGTTTCTTTACAGTGTTTGCTTGATTAAAGAGATGGGCACAAGTACAATGGTACAAGCATACCTGAGTTGGTGCCATCAATGGTGGATACGCATCAACAGGCAGAAGAAATAAGAGGAACAAAGTAATGGCAGGGAAGGCTGCAGAGGTAGAAAGAAGGGAGACCATTAAAAGCCAGTTTTGGAATCAAAAGCACAACCTCAATTAGAGCACAACCTCAATCAAAAGCACAAGTTCTCTTTGTCAAGCTGTCAACCTCATCACAACCCACACACCTCCCAACTATTCATTCATGTTTGGGTTTTGGAGGTGTTGTCCTTTGTTAAGCTTCCAATCCCATTGCAACTCACACTCTTCACAACTCTCTTACAAGTGGATTGATCTGTTAGATTCCCACTCCTGTTCTCCTCTCCTTTCCCTGCTTCGAGTTCATGTCCTTTTTGCCATTGACCAACCTACCATGCTCATCAAAATTTTCCCTTTATTTAGTAACTTAATAAAGAAAATTAAGAAAAAATAACAAATGATATCATAAAATCTTTCCATTTATAACTCCTGGGATCAACCAGCATTGACAGTAGATTTGCACAAATTCCTCGATGATATCCGATTGTCAATAAATAGAGTCTGAAAAGCATATCTTGAGTTTGTATGGAAATAGAGTCCACAATATCTGCAGAAAAGAGAACAAGCGTTAGCTTGAACTACCAAAGATAAAAGGTACATGAACAGCCATTTGATCCCGTCAAATTCTGCATTGGAACTCGATATGATACTAATAAATATTTTAATTGGGTTATCGGAAAGCTTTTGAGATTTATGATTATCCAATCAAGATCTTTATTAAAGATTTAGTGGTTAGAGAAGAATCTAATATATTTATGAACTTTAAACATCCATCCTTTCTGACATGTGAAACTAAATCCAAGTACATGACATAAACTAGTTAGATAAAAGGATAGGGATATTATACAAATTGATATGACAAAAAATGATGGACCCCGCTCCTGACGACGTCGCCCACACGTGGACAGGCGCGGCACCCCAGGGGGGCAATAAAGGTAACGACCTGTGCCCGGACGTCAGCCTGACTGAGCGCACGGCCCCTCGGTTGACCCAGCACAG